GGGCATCTTGCGTCTAATAGTTACGCTACTGCTTTGATCCAACATGATTGACGTCTTCTACTTCCGCTAATAACTCCACTAATTAAACATAACCCGAAAAATTTTAATTTCGAGAGAAAGGTAAGACCGTGAAAGAAAAACCTTATCGGCCAAGTTAAATCAAAACAGTACTTTTATTATAACATCATGACCTATGGCTGAGCATTTGCAAGGATCAAAAATATGATACCCTTGATCTCTGCCGGTTCAGATTGAACAAATGAAGTAGCGCTCGGTCCGTTCGAACACCACTTCATTTTCCTTGTGTTCGTAGCGCCCGTGAATTCCAAGGGCTATAAGAATTCCCATCTTATGTAACCGCAAATTCGCAAGAAATTTAAAAATATAAGAAACACAAAATGTGAATTTTAAAATGAATTTTAATTATAAAGTGATTTTTGGAAAATATTTTAGTTTTTATCCTTTTGTTTTTGAGGGTATCAGGGCCCCTTAGTCCTCCTGTGTGCAGCACTGACACGTTTTAGGCTAAATTGACACCAGTACTGACAGCAGTGGTGATTATTTCGCCTGTCGCCTATGCCCGGCAACTCCAAAAAACGGATAACCGAAAAATATGAAAAAATACATTATTAGTATAGTATATTAGTATATCCCATGAAATTAGTATATCGCTATTAACCTACTTCACGTTGAATTTTCATCGATGTTAAGCCTAACAAAAAGTTTTTAAAATAATAATCATCACTATTGTATCGTTAAAATTAGAAAATTAAACCTCGTTTAAATACTGGCTCCATGGTTGAGTCAGTGTTGCCAGCTAAAACACGTAAAAATAATATTAAAGTAGCCAAGACATAGCCAAATATTGTTGCGCCACATCACTAGCGGACATTTGAATTTGCCAACTAGAACGCGGTTGGTTAACCGATGTGACGGTTGATCGGGGGTCGGATAATCGATGCTCTACTGTATGTATTTCATTTAAAAGTTTTGAAAATTTTATATAGAAATATATTATTTAAAAATTAGATTCCTTACCGTAACTAAATCTGACGAATGCTCTCCAAACAAATGGAGTTCACTGAAAGATTTCTCAAGTGCTTCAACACTAGGATCAGTAACTACAAATAAAGAATCATCTTTTGATGACCTAAAAATAATAACATTTAATTAAATAATTGCAATTATGTTTTTTACATAATATGAAAAAGACACAGCAAACTTACTGTCTAAAAGAAATGTATTTTTTTAAGGCCAAAAGAAAACATTCATTTTCCATTGGAGGAAATTGAAAAGATGGTATGGTAGAGCCATCTTTCAAAAAGAAAGTTAGTTGAACTTTATTATTTTTAGGTATTTCATAGTATCTGTATGATTTCAAATCCATTACTTCAAATATAATTACATTTGGCTTTTTTCCTGAACAGGATTTGCCACCATTTTCTTCTATTAAAAATAATAATATTTTTTAGTATGAAATCTACTATCTACTATATCAACATGAAATTTACTTATTACTACAATAATTACATATATAATACAGATACACACACACACACCTGCATAAACAAACACAACACATATATACATAATCCAGTTATTGTAATCACTTTGGGATTTGTCTGTACTTATGATAGATAATCAACTGATAACATTAGACTAAGTGAATATAACTGTAATTACTCTGGTTTCATTGACTATAATTAAGACAATGCATTAAAATGTAACTTAAAAATTAATAATACTTATAAGTAATAAATTAATATGTAGTCCATCTAGTGTTGTTTGATTGATATTGGATTTAAAAACAGCTGGCATATAGTTAAAGATAAAAATTAGAACAATTTTAAACTACTGTATTGCAAACTAATAACAATTACATATTATTGCCTACATGCTGAGGCTAATAAAATGAAAAGATAACTTAAAAATACTCAATTATCTGAAAATAAAAATAACAATAACTGAACTATGATTACAATAAGTAAACTTTCATAAACATATTTTAACTTATGTATTGAGACATGCTAATTTTGAAAGCTTTGTCTGCTAACAATATCTATAATTATAATAAGCATAATATACTGTATAAATATAAAACTTAAAACTATACTGATAAACCAGTGATGATTTTTTTTCATAAATATTACACATTTCTTCAGTTTTAAAAAAAATTTTAAACATTTCTGGGCAGCAAAAAAGATAGTATAATGAAAAGATTAAAACCATTTGAAACAATCTAAATATAAAACTATATATAATAATACACTACTTTTACAAATTTATAAATAATAAATTTTGCAAGCACACCAGACAATTTTTTTTAAAAATCATCATTTTCTGACAAAACATTTGAAATAGTTTTCCAATCTGCAAGTCACAACTCTCTGGAGATCATCAACAGTATTCTTACAAAATAGTTTCTTGGTATATTAAAAAATCACAATCTTTAAGAGGATAAGAAATACTAATATAAAGTAAGATAATAATACCAAAATATTAAAAATATGCAATAAAAAAATAAAACATTTAAAAAGATGAAATTCATAAGAATTAATTTTAGTGATTTTAAATTTTGAGACCCTTTGATTAACTCTTCCTGTTGCAAATTAAACGTTCTAATTATATAGTTTTGAAAATATTCATTTAAAAAAATTCAAATAATAAACTTTTACATTAAGAAATACAAAGAAATACATAAAATCCNTCTCAGCCAGGTAGTTAAAGATTTAACTAATAAAAAAATTCTCAGCCAGGTAGTTAAACTACCTGGCTGAGAATTTTTTTATTAGTTAAATCTTTAACTACCTGGCTGAGAATTTTTTTTTTGGCTCGCTAAAAGCAATATTTAAAACACTACCATATATTAATGATAAATCAATCAATCTATCCAATTTAAGATTTAACTAATTTACAGTTAATGAATATGCTATTTTAACATATTAGCATATATTGGGTTGTTCGGAAAGTAAGTTCGTTTTTTTTACCACTAGACGGATTAGTGGTATTTTTCCCACCATTTTTGTTCTAAACTGTATTATCATTATATATTTTGACAGCTAGCATTTTAAGGCTTATTTGTAAAAAATTTTGCTTGATTTTGTGCAATTGTTTATTTTTTGTGCCCCATCAAATTTGGAAGATCAAAAGCAGCATTTTTGACATATTTTGCTCTTTTATTACCGAAAAGGTAAGAATGCTATTCAAGTGAGAAAAAAATTGTGTGACGTGTATGGAGATGTAGTGACAGAACGACAGTGCCAAAACTGGTTTACAAAATTTTGTTCTGGCAATTTCAAAACTGAAGATGCACCACATTCTGGATGGCCAGTTGAAGCCAATGAAAACAAAATAAAGGTATTGATTGAAGCAAACTGCCGAGTAACAACACGTGAAATCACTAAGAGATTAAATTTGTTTATGAATACTTGAAACAAATTGGTTTCGTTTCAAAGCTCGATATATGAATTCCACGAGTTCAAGAGAAATGCTCTATTTGGTGGGATATTAAGGAAATTTTTTTTGGAGCTTTTACCAGACAATTTAACAATTGATTCGAAAGTGTACTGCATTCAAGTAAACAAATTGAGTAATATCATCAAACAGAAAAAGCCAGCCAGAATTGATAAAAAAAACAGCTGTAGTGTTTTACCATAATAATGTCAAATTTCACACAAGTTTGGTAACTCGTCAGAAGCTGTTATAACTTAGATGGGACATGCTATCACACCAACCATATTCGCCAGATCAAGCAAACTCAGATTATTACTTGTTCCAGTCTGTACAATTTTTTTTAACTGTAAGACATTTACTTGAAATGACAATGTCAAAAATCACTTGAATTGGTTTTTTGTAAGCAACAATCAAAACTTTTATGAATGTGAAATCGTGCTACTACCAGAAACGATGACAACAGGTATTTGACCAAAATGGTCAACATATAATTCAATAAAATATTTATTTATCATAGGAATATTGCATTTTTTTTCCACGGAAAAAAACTAACTTACTTTCCGAACAACCCAATACATCAAATCAGTCTAAGTGACTACTTGACTTAGAGACTGGAATGTTATAAATGATCTTTCTGAAATGATAATGTATAAAATTCTAGTCACTAAGAAAACAAAAACAGTATAATTTATAACAACAAATTATTTGCATTATAATTCTATCATACTTTAATATATTTGTTCACAAATTCAGTTTCTATAAATGAAAAATCATAGCTAATAATTATAATATGCATCATCACTATCACTAAGAATATCAAATTATTTGAGATTTTCCCCTTTCACATGTATGAAATAATCCATGTACAAAGATATAAATTTATTAAATTTGTCCCTTAATAAATTTTCCAAACTTTATAAAATATTAATAAATTGAGAAAAAAGTTTCAGAAATCAGAAATTGCTTTGTTATGTGATCAAAATTATTAAAATGAAAAATGATAATATTAATTCAAATAGTATTATTTAAGTTATTTATCAGTTTTGGTTCTATTTTATCATTTTTTTTTCATCAGTTCATTAACACCTGTCCTCAAATTGAAAGTGTATATAGATAAGAGAAATAGTTAAAAATTTTAACTCTCTATCTCTCTTATCTATTATAAGTTTGAGAGAAAAATCTAATACTCTTAATAATCTAATTAGATTATTAAGAGTATTAGATTTTTCTCTCAAACTTATAATACTGCATAATTAATACAAAAGTTTTAAAATCTAAAAGTATTTTAAAATAACAATTGATATTATTGTAAGCTTGTATATTTTGTGTGCTATAATTTTGGGGAAATTTTATGCATGTTTGAGTGAAATTTTGTATCCTGAAAATATTCTGCACCCCCTTTTCATAAGTTGCATTGTACCACAATACTTCTTGCTGCCTGCAGACAGCTACACTTGGTCAGCCATACTGTCAGCAAACAAAATCAATAAAGAAATCAAGGAAACAAATTCCCTGACTTTCCAAGACTTTTTCCAAATGCTAATGAAAATCCCCGATTTTCCAGGTGCAAAAGAACCCTGTAAACAATATTATTTATGTAACAAAAATATACCATCGATATCAAATTCATATAACTATTATGTTTTTCAGCAAGAAAATTCATGACATTTTAAGTTATTTGCTTGCTTAAATGTTAAATGACAAAGCTGAAATTCAGATTATTAAAAAAGCAAGTTGGTCAAAACACAAATGTCTGAAAGTTGCAAATTTCCTGTATTTTTGTTAAATTATTTTAGACTGTTCCATTTTAAAAATTTCAAATTTATTTTAATATTCTAGTGAAACTATGAGATAAAATTACTTTTTTATTAGCTATTATTTTTGTGTTAATGTTATTTTAACCTATCAAAAATATTTTTAAAACAAAAATAACTGCTTTGAATTATGCAGAATAATACAATAAATCTATTTCACATTGTTTGTTTAAAATTAATTCTTATGTAAGATTATACTCACCAAAAGAATTATTCTTTATTTTATAACTGACTGATGTCCCAAAAGATATGTCTTCCCATTCTAATGTTTCGCTATCTGGACTTGATAACTGTCTTTGAATGCATTCAATGATCTCTTTTGGAGTCCATTCAACAACTGGACCTAGAGGCTTCAAAAATTTTAAGTTTAGAACTATATTAATTTGACAAGTTACTAAAACATATAGTTTTAGCTAGAGCAATATTAGAAAATAAAGTCATTTACAGTCGACCCCCTATAATGTGAGTTCAAATAATGCAGATTCGTATATTGCAGCGAAAAAATTGCAACTGTATTCATATAAAGACGCTAAAAGAGACTCGTAAAATGCGATAAAATGTCATCGCTGACTCATATCGCGACAGGATTAGTCGAATCTGGACCAATAGTGGATGAGCAGCCGAACTACTTACACGCTACGGAGAGTTTAGGCAGGTAAGTTGAGTTTACTATCATATGTACAGTATATAAATTAGGTACTGTAAATCTAACACAGTACTGTAATTTTACACATTTCTTGAGAAAAAAACATTTCTTATTCAATGGCCATAATAATTATTTCTATTAATGATGACTCCAAAGTTCAACAAATTTTTCGCAGAAAAATAACTTATCAGAAAACGTGCTCGCTGTTTGGTGCACTGCTCTGCAACAAAAACACGCTTAAGCAATGGCATCTTGGAACAGTGCACACTCAGTAAGTAATCCTACAATTTTTTGTTTATAGCATAGTTTATATGGATTATTCCCAAAAAATTATACATTTTTGGAAATGTTGAATCAAATTAGTCTAGAATCGATTAATTTTATGGAGGAAAACCTTTCAAACAGCTGTAGTCCGTAAACTGCACACATGTCGAGCTGTGATTGGCTCATGTATTTAAGGATTCCTACAATGTAAAATTCTTCTAAAGTGGAACGTATCTATCGCATTATAGAGGGGTCAACTGTACTATTTTAAGTAATAAATTATTACTTATTGTGTTTGTTTTTATGTTATATATATATTTTATTACATATAACTATAACAAAATAATAATGACGCATTCAGAACAAATTACGATATGATAACAAAACAATGAAAAACTAACATTTCCAAACTCTTTCTGGGCTCTGCATCAGATTCTTAACTGTTCCTAGATGGTTATTCATTTATGGAATAATGTTTAATATGTAGGCTGTTTTTTTTTTCCAAGTTCCAACGATCCATATAAAAAAAGACAAGTGTAAATAACAAAATGAATTTATTACCAAAAGTTAGGTACAAATATGGTTACTTTTTGATATAATCACTGTGAAGATTGAGGCATTTGTCATATCTGTGGATGAGCTTTTCCATCCCCTTGTCATAGAATGTTGCTGCCAATGACTTGAGATGGGCCCTAATGTTGTTTTGAAGATCATCATTAGTCTCAAACCTCTGTCCTCCTAGCAACTTTTTCTGTTCAGGAAACAAGTGGAAGTTGCTCAATGCTAAATCGGGGCTACACACCAGGTGTTTAAAGAACTTCCATCTTTCAGACTTCAACAACCTGGAACTTTTTAGTGTGTGAAGACTTCTACCTCTTTCCTAAACTGAAAACATGGCTAGCAGGGCAGAGGTTTGAGACTAATGATGATATTCAAAACAATGTTGTTAAGGCCATTTCAATTCACTGGTAACAACATTTTATGACAAGAGGATGGAAAAGCTCGTCCACAGATATGACAAATGCCTCAATCTTCATGGTGATTATGTTGAAAAGTAACCGTGTTTGTACCTAACTAAATATCATACTCAGCTCTTTAAAATATTTAATGAATCATTAAACACCTGATGCTGAGAAATGTTTATTAAACAAATATTAATGTTTTTGACCCAATACGATATGCCATCTTCAGATGCAACCGAAATTTGAACATACTTTAACTTAACCTTTAGATGACAGAACATTCGAACACTTTTACATTTAAATTTAAAACAAAATATTAGATAAATTAACAAATAATAATAAAATAAAACAAAATATACTAAATGAACTAATACAATAATGATGTAAATGGACTGGGGGGGTGCTCCAATCGTCAAAGCTGTTGGCATGAATTTTTTCCCACTTCCATACTTAGTCTAATTTTTCAAGTAATGAAGAATTTTGAATTATTTTCGACTAAAAGGAATAATATTAATCTTCTTATTTTATTGTTATTGATTGCTGGAATAGAACCAAATTCCAGTCCCTTACAGAAAACTCTAACAAAGAGAGGAAGACCACCACTTACTCGTCAAAAATTGTTGACTGTTAGTATCAAACCACTGGAACCAGATTCAAACCTTATCACTGATTATACTGAATCTAGAAGAGCCAAGTCATCATTTCAAACAGGTGAGCTAATTAATTTAACTTCCTCACAAGAACAATTGCCTGCGGAACAAATAGATGTTTCAACAGCAGAATTATGGAAGAAGATAGTCGAACTGATAACTAATAGTAATGATATGCTGGTGAGTCAATTTTCACTTATAAGATAAGAAATTAATATAATTCAAAATGAAATTAAAGAATTTAAAGATCAAATTCAACAAATAAGGATAAGAAATTATAAAATAGAAAATGAATTTACCAAACTAAGACTAGAAAATGAATTAACTCAATATGAACTGGATACTAAATTAACTCAATATGAACTGGATACTATGACTAACACTATGAATAATAATAAAATTATAATTTATGATTACACAAATCAGCTTAAAAATATTACTAAAAATGAATTAGCAACATTTTTTTCTAATACTTTAAAAATAATTTGCAGCAAATCAAAGATATAGCAAATATATATTCAATACCTAATTCAAATATTCAAATTAAGTGCATAGTATTAATTAAAATCAAACCAACTAAGAAATGGAATCTTTGCAGCCTTTAATAAATTGAAATATAATAAGACACTGGGAAATTGGCAAGAAATTAATATGTTAACTAATTTAAATAAAGATTCTTGCAAAAGAAGAAAAAAACTTTTACAATATTATATAGATTTTAAGAAACAAGGATTACAATTAAAACTGAGTGATGACTATCTGATAATTAATCGTCAAAAAATTACATATAGTTATATTCAAGATCAATTAGTATATGCGGATGATTTTTTGAAGTATTCTCTATAAAAAAAACCCAATAACATAATTAATTCAGAGTTAGAATGTGAAAAGGATCAACATATTAAAATTTCAAATAATCTTAGCTTATATATCACAAACAGGAACTGCTAAGGCTTAATCCACAAAATAAAAACTCAAGATTTCTTTCAACTACTATATAATACTGATATCTTGGATATAACTGAAATCTGGCTAGTCACACCAGTTAATGAAATTATAAAAAATAGAATGGAATATACAATTATATCTTCTGACACACAGAAACCAATAGGACATGGGAGACCGCATGAAGGACTTTGTCTAATAGTAAGAAAAAACATTGGTTCCGTAAAATTTATACAAAAAGTAACTAATTATGTTCTAATCTTATTACAAATTGATAATACTGTAATGAAACATTTAGGCCTATACAAAAAGTTAATTATTATGGTGTTAGTTTACGTTCAGCCTGACCAGATAGACTTATTAAATGAAATATTCAAAAATCTCGAAAAATGGAAAAATATCTCTCCATATGTATTATTATTTGATGATTTTAACTCCAGAGACTATTTTTTGAACCATTTACTTAGAGATTGTGAAGGACTAAAGAAATATCATCAAAAAATATGAAATTAAAGAACTAATATGTACGAAGCAAAATCAAGACTTTAGAACTAAATTAAACAACCTTACGTTAAATCAAATGTATTAATGGTTTTTTTTTTATTAAATCGCCAAAGAACTAAAAAATATGTAATAAATTAATAAAACTAAAAATTGTTTTTTACTGATTATGTTACTTTAAAGTAAAATATTTAAAAGATAAATAATGACAGAATTTACTATTAAACTGTTATTGTAATATTATTGATGATTTTGAAGATGATGTATATTAAACGATTGATAGATAACAAATGTATATTAAAGTATCATTGGAAAAATACCCCCTGTAACAAGGCTTAGCCTTAATACAAATAAAAATATTTGATTGATTGATAATGATGTAAATGATATAATAAAATAAAAATAAAAATGAAATAAATACACAAAAATGCCACTAAGTATAATGACAGGTGTGGACTAAGAATTTTTATGCTTTAGTTTTTCTTTTATGTAGAATTTCCATGCGGAAGTTCTGCATCCCTGGTATTAATACAACCATCCTTTAATTTACTTTTATAGATTTCAATTTTTTCTTCATGCATTGCTAATGATGCACAAAGAAATGATGCATGATTTTTTCTTTATACACTAGCTTTCTTTATATCTGTGAAGTTGTCCATTTTTAAGTAATAATAATTTAGAAATACTTCAAGGGGACAAAACAAAACAAATAATAATAATGAAGAAAGAAGAAAAAACAGAAGTGATCAGAGGATTAATTAATGAAGGAAATTATAAAGAACTGAAGAAAAATCCAGTGAATGATCTCATAAAATCCTTGGACAAGGAATTGAAAAGTTTAAAAACAAAACTACACATAACAGAAGAAGACATCAAATATGTCAAGAAAGAAGATAAAACACCAAAATTCAACATATGGGTAAAAACACATAAAAATCCTGAAAAATATAGACCATTAATAGATGTTAGAAATTATTTATATTACAATCTAGAAAAATATTTAAAAAATAAATTAAATCTATTAGAAGTGTCTAATTATAGCATTAAAAATGTAGATGAATTGTTAACAAGATTACAAAATATTACAATTAATAAATATATGAAATTAATATCTCTTGATA